GATATGACAATAATAGCTCGCTAACCAACTCTCTGTAGCTGTCACTCTTGTGGTTACCCAACAAATTTGAAACAACATTTTTAAAAGCCTTCCATGCAGATGTTTCTAAAACGCTTAATTTTTCTTCAAATCTTGAATCTTTTATTAACTCCCCAATTTGAGGGCCAACAAAAATACCCTCTTTTATCGTTGCATCACTTATTTTAGGGAATTTTTCTTTTATATACAAAAATCCACTCCCAATGCGATCCATTGCCTTCACAAAATTTTTTATTAATCCTAATTTGATATGCAATGGTGGTAGAAGCATATTATTTGGCTGTACAAGGGGTAAATACTTTACGTTTTTTTGCCCAGGAACTAACGATGCACGCGTACGCCATGTTTTTTTTATATAGTGATTAGTTCTGTCTCGGCTATCCCATTCACATAAAAAGCAGCAAAACTTTGTATAACCCAGCTGAAGTCCAAGTAATAGTGCAACAACTTTAAGATCACCGCAGATTTTGAAGGAATATGTACTGTATTTTATTTTTTCAAGTAAAAGTTTCATATTTTCATAGGTTTCTTTCATATTTGCAGCATGGGCCAGAGGTACAGACTGAAGCTTATTTCCATTATGCAATAACACTGCTTTTAGACTTGCTTTCGAAGAATCAATGAAAAAACGCCACTGAGAGAGATCAAAATCTATGTCCAACATTTTCATAATCTCATTTATGTTATTGCAAAACACCAAATCTCCATCCTGAGAAAAATACGTTCTGAAGTGTTGATCACGGTTTCGAAAAGAGCTAACTTTTGTATTATGATGTAGCAAATTCCATTCTTTTAGACGTGATCTTAATAGTTCTGACTGCTTTTTTGACAAATTTAAATCCCGAACCAAATCATTTAGGTCTCTTTGAGTTATCAAATGTGGCTCGTTTACAATTCCTTTTAGCTCAAAGTCATCGTCCTCGTCAACACATTCACCTGAAGTGGATGGTTGTGAATTGTTATCAACAGACGTAGTTGCAACTGGTAATTTTTTACAATGAGAGACTGGTCTTATAGCCGAAGATAAGTTAGGGTAAATAACTGTGGTTTTTTCCTTGTAATTTATACCTTTTATGTCTGTGAGACAAAAATAGCAATCTGAAACGTGATCTCGCTGTTCAGTCCATATCATGGGTACAGCAAACGGCATAGGTCGTGCACCTTTCTTCCAGTCAGTTAAATTTTTCACACACGTTATGCAACAGACATGAGGGGCCCAGGATTTGTCTTGATGGGCGACAGAAAAACCAAAACATTGGTGATAACACTCCAACACAAGATTCGTAAAATTTCGTCGTTGTTTTTTGAATGTTAGTTCTCCGCAGACATAACAAAAAGAGTTAGGATCATTATTACACTTCCTCGACATATTCACAGGGTTAATAAATCACAAAAAAGTGTTCAAATTCAACAACAAATATTTTTATAAGGATTTACTTGTAAGCGTTTCTGTTAATTTACTGCCGTAGTACTAGTTATAAGTATTACCGTATCACAACAAATATGAGGCTAATAGACATATGACAGCTGTCATGTAATAATGAGGGTAGACTGATAAAACAAAATTAGCTGTCAAAGTTCGTGTGGCAAAACCAGTGTTGACCTGTGTAATAATAATACTAACTTTTATTGGAATATATAACATGTATAAAATGGAAGCCATTTTTCACTTACCCCTATAACATAAGTTAGCTTGAAGAACACTTATTCAACATCAACTGGATAGACTGATTAACATTTACAAAAAATGTTAAGCAGGGTGTTCAATTGAAATCTTCCCACCACGGATTTATCGAAAAAGAAAAAACGCTAAAACACGTCAAAAGATTTGCCAAACGGGACAACTTTTTAACCGAAATCTTCTTCACCCCATTTCATCCTCTGCCCACCAGGGTCATCCCTATAACAATTTTAAATGGCAAGGCGTGTCGAGTAATAGCTTTTTTGTAAAGTCGTTTAAAGTCCTGTATTTTGACGTTTGATTTTTTTAAATCGGTCGATTCGTTTTGAAGAAAATTAGAAAAATCTTTATTTATCTTAATTTGTTCATACAGAAAACAAAAACAGGCGAACATATCAGTTTTATTTCAATAAGTGATCAAAATGTTGAACGTTATTGGCCAAAAAATGATATAGGCGATGTTCAAATTCCTGACGGACATTTTCAAAAACATGTTGTGAGATATCTTAATTTTATATCGCTGATTAAAACGTGTCATATTGCCAGTATTTTTTCACTCCTATTCAAATTGCATCTACTCCAACAGAAACGACTTCGTTCGACTGCGGATGCACGACTTTCATCGAGTTCCCAATCAACTCTAGCCTTGATAATGGGTCGCGTTGGCCTGCTTGATTTCAGTTTATTATCAACGAGGCGCCGCGACGCGAGATACCGACGCTGAGCGTCGCCGCGGTGCTAGAGCTAACGCTGCATTGTAACAACAATCAAGCGCAGTGTGTACTTTGCGAGCAAGTTTTAATTGAAACGTCCGGTTATTTACACACCCTTCTAGTTAACTGCGACGCTGCTCTTCATATCTGTGCCAGGTCGATGAAAGCTATTCACGAACGACCAATGTCGAGATCCATACAGGGTGCCGATGTAGACTATCCTAGCGCAGAATATGCGTACTGGCTCGCCGATGCCTCTGTCTTTTTAGAATCAGAAGAAGTCATGTTTTCATTGTATTCAGGAGTATTGGACAATTAACATCAGTACAGTATTTGAAAATTTAAATAATAATAATTATAATAAACGGCTTTATTTATAACGATTCGTTATAAATGGAAGAACTTTAGCCTCATCTGTTCTTCCTCTTAACCCTTATGTACCATTGGTTACTAGAAATTTATATACATATACAGGGTGTTTCTTACATGAACCGACAAAAAATGTGAATAATTGGGGACGCTATTTGATGATTTTTCGTGGTAACCGTAATGATCTAAGGGCTACGGTTTCCAAGATATAATTTTTTTGCTATACAGAATCGGCTCGAATTTATCTTGCGTTATTATCTCGACAAACAAAAAAGTTATCACGATAGGTCTGCGCCTTTGTAGATATTACAGCAAAAAAAAAACAAAAAAAATCATAACTCGGAAACTGGACCCCTTAGAGCATTACGGTTTTCTACCAAAAATCATCAAATAGCGTCCCCAATTATCCATATTTTTTTGTCGGTTCATGTAAGAAACACCCTGTATAAACACACACATATATATATATACAGGATGGCGCATCGAAAAAGAAACAGACGCATTTACTGGCAGCTCAGTTTTTTTTTGGAAAAACGCTCAGGCCCGTCGATTTTGTTTTCGAGGGGGACACAAGTTCGGCAAAAAAGCACGTTAGCACGTGCAGCCCCCTAAGCGGGGGTACACCACCCCCAAAATCTTAAGTGGAAAGTGGTGCCCAGTACCTTATTTTAAAGGTCTTTCAATTCCCTTTATAATGATATAAAATTAATGTACTTCAGTTCAGTAGTTTTGAAGATTTATTGATTTAAAGCTTAACACGTTCGCTGCCAACTCGGTCTATAAGACCAAAATTGTGTTTGTCTTACTCGCCATCATGGTCCATAAGACCGAGAAGAAATTTTGTCAGCCGCGCCAACGCGGTCGATTAGACCGAGCTGAATATTCAATCCTCTTTCGCCAGCTGTTTAATTTTGCATTGGTTTAACACTGGTAGTAGACCGAGTTGGCATCAGAGGATTGTTGACACATATCAGTTATGTAAAAAATTGATTGAATTTTAATATTTTGGTTATTTTATTTCTGGATATGGTAGGTTAGAGAAACAACAACAACTTACTTTATAAATCGTTTATTTTTGCAAAAATCTAGAACGAAAACCAGTAGTTTACATAATAATATATAAAAAACTTAAGAAAAAAACTTATTTCTATCTCAGGAGTTTCATATCTACGAAACTTATTAAAGCATGATAAGCAGAAAAACGGTTCACCATTACAATCTTTACAATAATAACGTCCTCTAGTGAGTTTTCGTGATTCTTTCCGTCCTTTTTCGGCTCTCACTTTTTCATAGCATCTACTGCAAGGTCTTCGTTTTTTATAATCACTTTTGCCCATTTCGTGCTTTTGGCGTTTTCTTTTTGGAATCATATCTGCATCTGGTTGCTCTGCTAACCCATCGTCTTGTGCTTGGCATAACTTGTATGTAACAGCTTTTCGAAACTGAAGTAAGGAAATTCTGGCATTCACAGTTTCCTTATACATAATCCATGTATTGACCATTGCAGTATTCAGGATAATCTCTACGGCTAACTTATGGTACCACTTAAAGGTTCTACGCAAAGGTTTGTCGTGTCTACTGTTGTGTTGCTATGTTTGGTAGAAAGCACTAAAACGTTGCGTTTATCATTCCAGGAAATTACTGTGACACCGTCCTGATTTTCGAGAGCGGCTATCCTCCAGATTTAAGTTTTTTGTTGACCAGGTCTTTTGGAAGGCCTCGTCTGTTTTTTCGCAATGTGCCAATCAAATATGTTTGCCTATCCATCAATCTTTTTGTCAAATCTACACTTGTATACCAGTTGTCTGTTACAAGAGTGCGGCCTGAATCTAGTATGGGCTCAAAAAGACTCATAACTACAGATGTGGGTGTAGTATGACCTTGGTCTAAATTTTTTCCTGCATAAATTTTAAAGTACTTTCTTGATTTCATTTTTATCTGTAGGGAACCAATTATGTAACCAAGATGTACGTTTTACACCTGCTTCATCTGTAATAACTTGCGTAACATGTAGATTCGTTTGGTCAGCAATGTATTGAAAAATAGAGTCATTAATTAGTGAAAAATAAAACATTTCCAGCGGTTCTTCACGCAAAAGCTCAGCAAGATGGGGTTCAGTACCAGTTTGTTTAGTAAAGGGTAATAAAACTGGTTGTCTATCTGTTGGAATACTCCATATCATATATTATCCGATGCAGCGCCGGCGTTACCAGCTAAATTTTCATCTGTGTCTGTGTTTGGCATAGGCGCGGAGGCAGCACTACTTCCTGGCAATGAAGAATTTGTACCAGAAGTAACGGATAACTCGTCATTGGTGTCTGAAGTTTGCGCAAGCATGGGGGAGGCAGTAGAGTTTGTATCGGAACTACCAGATGATTCATCATCAGTAGGTTCGTAGTTGCTGTCTGCGATACTATCGTCTGAAAAGAATAATAAATGCATGAAGGATTGTATGTTTTTGCAGTCTAGCTATTCTCGGAAACTTACAAGTCTATGCGATCGATCTACGAAATAAAAGAATAAAGAATGTTTCTTACCGTCATCCTATAATGCAGATGCTTCATCTGACAGATTTTGCATAATTCGCTCTATCTCTTCTTGTAATTGTTTCTGCGTCAAAGCACGATTTCTGGACATTGTAGGAACACAAACTACATTCAAAAATAACAACAATAACCGCCTATTCCGTCTGAAAATGTGCACGTACTGAAGTGCACTTAGAAAGACAATAGACACCACGTGCTGACTTGAAGAAACATGTCGATTGCGCAAAATCGCTGCGGACCGAGAAATGGACCGAGTTGGCGCATATGATAAAAAAGCTACTTCCACGCCGCCTCGGTCTGTTGGACCGAGTGACAAATTTGACAATTTTGAGATGAAAATGACACCTACAAAGAAACTAACTGCAGGTAACGTAATCATAACTAATAAATTTTGACTGGACAAAATGGCTCCAGGGGAACTTTTTATTTATTTGGTCTTCTTTTTGTGGCTTTGGTGGCATAATCAAAAATATTGCTTGGCAGCGAACGTATTCAATAAAACTAATACATCATCATTAGTGGAGATCAATTCATTTGGCAGCAAAGTAACTTCAAAATGAAGAATGAACTGACCCGTTAGGCAAGTAAATGTTGAAAATGGCCACCATGACTCTCTATGCAATAATAAAGATTTTGCTCAAAACGTTGCTGCACATTTTGCAATATTTGAGGATTAATTTGAAGGCACTCATTCACAATTCTTTGTCGCAGGTCTTCTAATGATGTTGGCTGAGTAGCATAGATTTTGCTTTTCAAATGACCCCACATAAATAAATCCAAAGGTGATAAATCTGGCGATCTTGGGGGCCATTCCATGGCACCTCTTCTAACAATCCATCGATCTGGAAACGTCTGATCTAAATATTGTCGACCACGTAATGCGTAATGTGGTGGGGCACCATCCTGATGGAACATCAACCTATTCGCAATGTACCGCCGATCATTCTGATTTTCAATTATGGCTGTTAATGCAGGATCTATGGCGTCTTCCAGTAATTCCAAATACATTTCACGTGTCAAATTCCCAGGTAAGAAAAAAGGACCAACTAAATGATCGCCAAAAATACCAGCCCAAACATTTAATTTTTGTGGCTGCTGTGTATGAACCTCATGATAAATTCTGGGATTAGAATCGGACCAATAACAAAATAAGGTAGAAATGAATACCATAAGTGCAGACGCTTTTGTGGTAGCATCATAAGCATCGTAAAAATATGTAACATTAATGACGCCAATGTCAAATCGCTGTGTTTCTTATATGAACGAAAGGACTTTTGCATCATCTCCCCGCTACAGAGTTTGCCCTACTTGCACAAACATCAATTAGGGTTCCTACATATTTAGCACGTGGCGAGATATTTTCTTCAAGACCCCTTTTTCAGTACCTGCCTGAAAATGAAATTTTAATCAATTTTCACCTCACCCAACCATGACAGTTGTATAAATAGAACACCTTTCTGCTGCTTTAAATGAATAATTGGAAGAGGAGGTCCGCCCTCATTATCTTCAAAATAATTCAAAAGAGAGAACTACGTTGCTTACGCTCTGCTGGGGTTTAATGATAGCAATAACAATAACAATAATAATAATAATAATAATAATAATAATAATAATAATAATAATAATAATAATAATAAAGGTCTTTTCATTTGGGCGAAGCTTAGCTTGATCTAGTCCCCCACTTGACCCATGCAAAACAACATGAATAAAATGGAGAAATGACAATAAGACTCGTAATATAACAAAATTATTTACATATTTAATGCAATTACTCTGATAAAGGAGTAAATACTATCTCCATTAGCAGAAGTGAATGATAAGTGTTTTCAATTTTTAAAGTTACCAAATGTCAACGATTGAATTTCAGGAGGTAGTGAACTATGCAGATAGATCGCATTAAAAGTAAAACCTGTTTAAAAATGACGTTCTGTGGATAGGCATGGTGAGTGTATTTGGGAAGCATATAGGTATTTCTAGAATCAACACACGTACGATTTATTAGCTTTTCCTTTAGAAACGGAGGTTATGAGGTAATTTGGAACATAATAGTAAGTGTTATTTTTATATAAGTTTGTACTGTTTAACCACGTAGTTTTTGGAAAGTTACCGAAATAGGGTCCTACTTTTTCAAGTTTTCTGCTACTCTACAGCAAGCATTTTGTTCTTTCTGCAAGCATTTTATAGATACCGATTCTAAAACTGGATGATAAACAATATCGCAATAATTTTTGAAACGATCAATGATTCGCATAGAATTTTCTTAGTTTTGTAGTCTAAAATTTGTTTAATGAAGTATGTATAACTGGCAAAGTACTGAAAAACAACTTTGAGTAAAATGATTCACATGTGGAATGAAATTTAGACACTCGTCAAGAGAAATGTTTCTGTCAAGTCTTTAACTGATTCATGTACTTGAATAATTTCGCCATCCAGAGACATGTTTGTATATCTTTCAATGTATTTCCTTAATTTTTTGTGGAAAAATTAACTTTTGATTTTGTAGGATTTAAACCGAGATTATGACTGCTGGCGTAATTATCAATATACGTTAAATCCCCATTTATTTGAAATTCTGCGACTATGATCTTGTCATTATTGGCATTGAAAATGAATGATTTATCATATCAAATGCTCTGGTGAAATCTAAGAGGACTAAAGATGCCAACAAATTTTGTCTTTACGATGTTATTTGTTAAGCCTAATAAAGCTTCTGCAGTATTGTACCTTTTCCTGAATCCTCATTACTTAGCTGGTGGTATTTCAGAACATACAATCATTTATCTGTATATACATCACTTTCTTTGATAATGCTGATAATGTGGGTAGGAAGCTTATGGACCTTAAGTCAGAACAAGAAGTGGGGCTATTATTTTTAGCTATGTGTCTGATTACAGCGCGTTTCAATAATTACGTTATTTTCCGAACACTTGTTTATAAGGTGTAGAATGTGACATGAAATAATCGGAAATCTATTATGCGTATAATAATTTGTCTCGTAAAAATGAATTGTTCCCGTACAGGAATGTGTATTACCACTAGAGATAGAACTAAAATAATCATTTATTTTTACTAGGTCTCTCAAATGGTTAGTAATTTCACTATTTTTCAATGTTTGCTCATGCATTGTTTTGCTCACTGCAAAGTTTTATATAAAGCAGAAGAATCAAATAGAAAAGGCAGAAAAATATTGGTTCTATTAAACACCTTAGAAATGGTTGGTTGTAGTGGTACGGCATTAAGTTTAATGTTAAGCTACATACAAGGACTTCAGCAACAGGTTAAAATTAAAAAAAATGTAAGCAATAAGCAAGTCATTAAATATGGTGTACCACAGGGGACAGTAATGGGCCCACTGCTTTTTAACATATATGTAAATAGTTTATTTGAGCAGGCGAAGTAAAGTGCTTCACTGATGATAACTTTCTCTTATATAAAGCTAATCCTAGGGAAAATCTAAGAATAATAGCTGTGTATGATTTTACTGCCATCATTCGCTGGTGCATACATAAACCATTAACGATAAATTTTGATGAAACCCATTCTGTCCCGTCTACCAGTTATAGCGATACTTTGCCTAGCTATGAAACATCACACTTCAAAATTGATACAAGTTCTATAGCCATATAACGTGAGGAACACTTGAAATAGCACAAGGATTTTTTAAATATTAATACCTTCTTTTGAAGCTTTGATAGCCTGTATCTTGAAAGTCAAACTTTTGATGACATATAGTATGAAATTATTTTACAACAGCAGCTCTTAGCGTATTGGGCAGAAATGGAACGACAATGCTTACAGGTAACTAGTAAATATCTTGTTTTCCTAACAGGCATAAACTGAATTGGAGCCATCAAGGATCTTATGGTGATTACACCACACGCCTATTAAGGCAGTATTTTGCATACTATACCCTAAATCGAGCACTATACTTACGAATATGATCGTTTTAATATCCCCTATGCAAGTTTCTCCGACTACTCCAGGTGCTGAAGCCAATTAACGTTTACGATACTCGGTTATCCCTAGTAAATTGAGTGTTTGAATTGAGCTTCGCAGTTGGTGTAGTAACGCCCTTGTTTGTATTATCTATTCCTTACCTTACTGAATATAAATGTTTATAGGCTCTAGCTGGTTCATTTACCAGCGGGTTCGGGATCTCAGTTTCTTTAAGAGCGCAGCCATTAGGTTTATTATACATGGAGTTGCAGGTGTTAGGTTGTAAGTCATACTCCAAGGTCTTTCTGAATTTTTATGTACTTTAAACCGTGTTACGTTACCGTATTGCTAATCATAAAACAGTCGGAGATGGTAATTATGCCTTGCAGATTATTCTATTCCTTCACATTTTCTGAATTGCATACTTGAAGCACTCATCGATATTTTATGTTCTGCATAAACAGTGTCTAAGCCCACAATATTTTTGCTAAATACATATAGCGGAACTTTCAATACTATTTACTTCTCTATTGGTAAATCAGAGTTACAAAACCATCCAATTTTAATATCACCTGGGGACCATTCAAGTATCACGTGAGCACTATGGGGGGGGCGGGGGTTCTTTGCTGTGCTTATTTTGGATGATATGGGGGTAGGGGAGTTTAGATGATGATTACGTGATCGGTAGTTATTTACTTTTTTACACGAATGGCAACCCTCACATTGTCTTTGCTTGAAAACGAAACGCATTTTCGGGGATTCCCGCAAATGATGCATTCGTTTAGTGAACAGCGCGCGGTAATTCCCCTACTCGCTTTAGAATCGAGTAGGGGAATTACCGCGCGGTGTTCACTTGTCTAAATTTCCTCTATCAGTGTATTGTTTCGTTTGGATACTATAGCGAGTAG